TACATTAATCAAATTTCAAAATTCAATTGACCCTCGAATTTAATCGCCACACGTTATATCGCACCTGTTATAGATAGATGCAACTTCCTACCTCTCCATTTACTCCAGAGGAGCCCACGCGCGTGCTATTCGACGAAAAACAGTATCGCCGATCAAATTGATACGAAATTAGCAGGAGCAATAACAGAGTGCGCACGGTATCGCGTTTCGATCAGCGACAGACGATTACATGGAAACGACTCCTGATACCGCGATAGTTTAGCGATAGGATTTGCCCGTGAGTCGAGGTTATCCCTGTCCGAAAGGAGAATTTACACGCGGATTTACATAGTTTTCTGATGGGTAAATAAAGGGGCTTGAAATTGACATATTGCACAATAGAAATTTAAATGCTCTTCGATGACTCTGCGAGAGATTTTTTCTTCAACAATCAAGAGACTAATTTGGAAACATAATTACAGATGATTAATATTAAAATACATTACACTCACTTTGACAATTTTTACAATTTCAAACAAAGTATCTGCTACAATTTTGTATCTCAATTAACAACGATTAACTCAGAAGCAAATCACAATATATTAATAAGTAAATAAATTGAATAATAAAGTGACTCGCAAAAATTACAAATCAAGTGCACAGAAACGAAAATGCCACATTTTTAATTGAAAATTACCCTGTTTCGTAAACAGAAATTCCAAGGTCGGAAATACACATTTATCCAAACATACCCGCAAACAAAGGGTGATTCCTTTACAGCCGGTTTGACCACGTCATAATCGTATAATTACGTTCGTTAAATACCGTGCACCTTTCAAACGAGCAAACTATTCTGTTTTAATTAAAACTTTTTGTTTCAGTCCGGGGGAAGAAATTCTGCAACGCATTTAGAGCGGGAATTCAAACTAAAGCGATGAGGTAAACCAGCAGGTAAACCCCGGCTAGTGGACAGGGCAACGGGTTGATTGATCGCGTGTCAGGTTCCAGCCAACCTGGCGCCAGCACAGAGTTTCTCAACCTGGCGCCAGTCAACCTTCTGCACAACAAGTCACTATACAATCTGTCCTCGCTACCTTATCTACACGACATTTAAGCATAAATTTCCTGACTCATATTTTCCACGAACGTGAACGTTATTCGCTGGCTACTCTGTGGAGAACAAGAATAAATTTTCGTTTAACGCTGTTGATATCGAATTTATTATCTCGGCAAATTTAATTATGGTGGCTATGGCGATCTTATAGCCAGTAGTCGAGAATTTGAGGACTTGGAGGGATCTTGAAATTTGGAAATGGAAACAAATTGGGAATTTAGGGATTTGGAAGATTGATAGTAGGAAAATTTGATGAAGGGTGTTAGGAAGCTGAGAATTTGGAGATTTGGGTGTTTGGACATTTAGGAACTTGGGATTTTGGGAATTTAGAGAGCTAGAGAGCTTGAAATTTGGAAGTAGACGAATTTCCAATTGGGAATTTAGGGATCTTGAAATTTGGAAATAGAAAAATTTGACAAGGGGAGTTAGGGAGCTGGGCATTTGGAGATATGGGTGTTTGGACATTTAGGAACTTGGGATTTTGGGAATTTAGAGAGCTGGAGGTCTTGAAATTTGGAAGTAGACGAATTTCCAATTGGGAATTTAGGGATCTTGAAATTTGGAAATAGGAAAATTTGACAAGGGGAGTTAGGGAACTGAGAATTTGGAGATTTGGATGTTTGGATATTTAGGAACTTGGGAATTTGACAACTTGGAGAGCTAGGGAGCTTGAAATTTGACAGTAGACGCATTTCCAACTAGAAATTTAAGGATCTTGACATTTGGAAATAGGAAAATTTGACGAGGGAAGTTAGGGAGTTGAGAATTTGGAGATTTGGGTGTTTGGACATTTAGGAACTTGGGAATTTGAGAATTTGGAGAGCTAGGGAGCTTGAAATTTGACAGTAGACGCATTTACAACTAGAAATTTAAGGATCTTGACATTTGGAAATAGAAAAATTTGACGAGGGAAGTTAGGGAGCTGGAAATTTGGAAATTTCGATGTTTGGACATTTAGCAATTTAAGACTTTGAAGAGCTAAATACTTAGAACTTTGAAACTCAATAATTTCTAACAAAAAATTGGCAATTTCTAACTAAAAAATTTTCGAGCTTATGAATGTTAAAAACCTAAAATCTCAGATCTAAAAATGTGACAATGCCGCATAAAGCCCCAAGTTAAACTACCGTTGAAAGCGGTAGATACAAATGATATAGATCGGCAGTCTCCATCAACGTGGCTCTTGTCAGTCAGTTATTCCTTGGCGCTCTTCTCCACCGTGGAGGCTTTTTATTTGATCGACGAGTGACGTTATCGGGGGTAATATTGGAAAAAGAGGCGGCTCCACCACTTCCGACCGATCTGGCTCGCTCCATCAAACATTCATGACTGGCCCGTCCGCGAGCTCCGCGTTTTTCGCTCCGTGAAAATGCTTCCGATAAAATGCACTGTCCCCCCACCTCGCCGCCCTTAACGCTCTTTTGTGCGCGATACGATGTCGCCCACTAATATTCCTCGGGTTTCCGCTTTTAGGTGGCTGCTTTTCAAAAATCGTTCCGCTCGCTCGAGTCCGATGATGATCCTCTCTGTTCTGAAATTCCTACTTTCACGGTAATTCGCGGCTCGTTCGATCGTCGAATTAATCGAGGTCTGGGAACTTGTTGCGACAACTCGGCGAGAAAGTTGACCCTCGGAAATGTAAGTTTAAAAAACCGTGAACCGCAGAGGGGTTGCGGAGAGGAGGGTGGACAGGAAGAGTTCTGGATGCAAAAGAGAGGAGAGGGAACTGTAGACCACTTCGTCACACTCGAGAGAAGACGGAGAGGGCAAGCTTGTTCCAGTTTACGGTCCTCGGAACCGTAGTTAGAGAAAACTCCGCTCTACTTGGACCTACCCCGTCTCGTGCTGCTAAACAAACCAGCCCCGAAATTTTGACAAAACTCGGGCAAATTCCCTGTCGAAATAAATCCCAAAGGATACTCGCTGAATCGCGCTTTCATGCGGGATGCTGCGATGCATACGCTGCCTACAAAGCGTAATGTCCGGCCAATGTGTACACTGCCCAAACGTTTCGGCAATGTGGGAATATGTGAACTATCCTGATTTGCATACCATTGTTTCGTACATTTTCTACATATTGTTTACTTTGTCCAGGTAATGTGTATCGCACAATTGCTTCATCTCGAAAACCAAACATTTTTCTACTACCGACTGTTGACGATGTGCCATAAATTCAACAATTTGCTACAACAATTTGCTTCAACAAATATGTAGAAATTTGGACACGTACAAATTTAGACATGTAGAAGTTTGAAAACTTGATGATGAATTTAGAAATGCGTGAATTTAAGAACATATGGAATTGAAGACAATCGAAGAAATTTGGGCATGTAGAAATTTAGACATGTAGAAGTTTGAAAACTTGATGAATTTAGAGATGTGTGAATTTAAGAACATATGAAATTGAAGGCAATTGAAGAAATTTGGGCATGTAGAAATTTAGACATGTAGAAGTTTGAGAACTTGATGATGAATTTAGAAATGCGTGAATTTAAGAACATATGAAATTGAAGACAAGTGTAGAAATTTGGGAATTCAGAAATGATAGAAATTTTAGGATCCGTAAATATCCATAAGCTTACTGAAACTCTGTCCCATTATTATCTTCGAGATATCCAATAAAATTTATCATAACAGAGACTACAATTCCCAATTACCTCGATACGTACCATGATTCACAATTAATTGCGAATGCAACAATTTGCATGAACATCCGCAATTTTGTCAGAGGAATCATTATGGAATCAGAGGAAGTATGTGAGCATATATCAGACGATGCACGATCTGTCAGGCATTCGTCTGAGGAATGCAAATGTACTCGACGTGAATGGTAATATGTAGATTAATCCCCAGCTGGTCGAAAACTCTCCAGGAACTAACCTCGTTTTACTCGGATGTATAATCGTCTCGAGAGCTTTTCTAACGAATGCCTCTTATATTAGTGGTCGGATTCTACCTATGAATTACATTCTTCTGTTCCGAACGTTCTGATTGAAATATTACCTTTCTCAAATGGCCATAGTCGCATTTCAATGTGTCGCGTTTACTGTGTTCGTAATATGCCAGGCATCTCATAAAGTATCATTTGTACAATGTTGACATTCGTCCGAAGTTATTATGAAGGCAACATTTTCTTATTAAGCGTCGAAAGTAGCGTACATGATATAGTTTCATAATTACTCGATCAAAACATACAACTTCGGGAAAATTTTGCAAATCATTGTGACTAATGAAAATTATTTGTATCTCAATGTACGACTTGGCGGAGATTATGATGTACTTTGAGATGTAAATAATACGATGTATGCAAAACTACTTGTCACTGATTATTTACAATTTCTATCTTATCACTGGGTCAATAAATCTGGTGCATACGTCAATAAAATCTTTTACAACAGCACATCGATAATATTGTACTGTTTGTGACCGAACTGTTTCAGAAATAAATGCATGAAATTCGGTCGTGAAAAAATTTTGCAAATAAAATTTGAAGTTTCGAACCTTAGAATTTAGTAATTTGTAGAGATTAGAAAACTTGCGAATATACGTATCTAAAAATTCGAAAATGGAAAAATGTAAAAATTAATCCAGAGTTAAGTCTAATTGCATCTAAACGTATTTGCTTGAAATCGCAACGGATCACGGGGAACGAAACAGTTAATTACCCGACAAATTCGAGTATCATCGTGAACATACTTCCGTTACTTATCTCCTTGGCATAATAGGCGATCCATCTCGAAAACGTACCGGCAAGGAGTTTCCCGGAATACAAAACAGTTTTCCGATAGTTTGGCTAGTGCGAAAACGAACAGAGTTCGCGGAGCCTAGTCATCAGCGTGGGAACAACAGAAACTCGACATGTATCATCGTGGAAGAAGGATGAATTACGAATCTGAGCAGTACTTACCAAAGTTTTCATAAAGTTTAACACCGCTAGAAGGCCACTGCATTAAACGAGGTGCAGCTGCAACAGAAAAGGTAGTTAAGGTTAATTCCACGTAACAACCTGACGAGGGTTATTACCGAATCAATTGGTTACACCAATTCAAATATCAGCTGAAGTGATCATATATTCTCAAACATAAACTTATTTTTGTAATATATAAAATACACCATCGTTAAATAATTATGTACAGTAAAGTTATAATTTTGCAACATATTTAGATAGTCTGAAGTATATCGTTCACCACTTTCCATTATCAACTGCGTATATCTTCCACTTTGAAAGTCACAGTCAAGGTCATCGATAATTATTGCAACTCTTGCAATTTAACAACAACTACGATCACAATAATGCCCTTGAATAACTTACATAATTAGCTCGTCTTCATAAATTTTACACAAGTCCTCGGTACATTACGCACAACAATTCGAAGAGTATCGATTATTTGAAATATACGTAGTATCATTAATTAATGACATTGCGCAGACTATACAGCTCCTACGAGTTATCATGCTACGTTCATCCCAACAGCAATTTTATTGCGCCAGTTGTCGTTCAGAATAGTGGCACACAGCATCGCTGCACCGTTTTGCCAAGATGGCATCCGCGTGTTTGACCCTTCTAATCGGTGCCCTAGTCCTGTTGACCGTGTACCTAATTAAAAAGTACACTTATTGGAAGCGACGAGGAATTCCAACGGCAAGCGGAGTTCTTCCTCTTCTGGGTAACATGTTGCCAGTGTTAACCTTGAGGTACAGCCACTTGAGCTACAACGTGAAAGTGTACGACGATCACAAAGAGCACAGTATGGTCGGATACTACAAATTTCTGAAACCGGTGCTGCTAGTTCGCGAGCCGCAGCTAATAAAGACAGTGATGCAAACGAATTTCTCGAGTTTCGCCGACACCGGAATGATACTGCGACCGGACCTGGATCCGCTGCTCTCGAAGAATCCATTTTTCAACGTAGGCGAAGCGTGGTCGCGCGCTAGGAAGCGAATGACCAACGCGTTTTCGAACGCGAAATTGAAGATACTCCACGGAGCCGTTAACGGAGTCTGCAAAAAATTCGAGGACTTTTTGAATCGGCAGTTGTCTACCAGCGACAAGTACGAGGTCGAGTTGAAGCAATTATTCTTGAAATTCACCGGCGAAGTTGTGGCCAACGCCGGTCTGGGCATCGAGGGATACTGCTTCGACGATAACAAGAAATCTATGGCGTTCTATGCGATGTTGGAACCGCTTTTCAAAACGAACCTCTTCATGGGTATCTTGCAAATTATCTTTTTCGTTCCCGAACTGAGAAATTTCTTGCGTTTGAGGTTCATACCGAAGGAGCTCGATCAAACGTTCAGAGGCATCGTGAAGGAGAACCTGCAGATCAGACGAAATGATCCAAAAGAAAGAAGCGATTATCTGCAGGTGATGATCGACATGGAAAAGACGGACAAACAGAATATAGACGAAGAAGCGATCACAGCCGAAGCGTTGTCCTTGTACGTGGACGGTTTAGAGACATCCAGCATCACCCTTAGTTACCTCGGTTTTCATCTGGCGACGCATCCGGACATACAAGAAAAATTGCGACAGGAAGTGAAGTCCAAAATCGCGAAATATGATGGGGTGCTGACGTTTGAAGCACTGAAGGAAATGACGTACATGGATCAAGTGATCAGCGAATCACAAAGATGCTGTCCCGTTGTATCCGCGCTTAAGAGGCAATGTACCGAAACGATCGAATTGAAGGGATCCGATGGACTGTCCTGTCGAGTGCAGCCTGGCACAATTGTTATGATACCCAACTTCTCGTTGCAACGGGACCCGAAATATTGGCCTGACCCTGAACTGTTTGACCCGGAACGCTTCAACGAAGAGAGAAAGCAGGATATCGTGAAAATGACTCATCTTCCCTTTGGAGAAGGCCCGAGAATGTGTGTGGGCATGAAGATGGCGATGCTGCAAATGAAATCGTGCGTGGCTACCTTGCTCAGCAAGTACAAATTGGAATTGTCGAAGAAAACGCAGCAGCCTTTGAAATATGTGCCTCATTCCTTCATGTTGACACCCGTTGGAGGAATATGGGTTCACATCTCAAAGATTTAGTTACATAGCAGTTTATATTAACATTGTTATTTACATATTCTGAATTTTTATTTCACTTAGCTGTAATGTATCTGTGCTAAACTCAGATAAAATGCCAAAAATAATTTGAGGCGTATCATTAAATCGCTGTATCTTAATTGCTTCACATTTTTCACCGCTGACATGATAGGTCTCATTGGCGTGGAATGATCATATCACTTTTATCGTTCGATAAGCACGAATCACTAGTCGTGTAAACAAAAGAAGTATATCAACAATTTTTTATTAACAGCATGCTTTCGATAACTCTCTTTTAAATTTACTATTTCTTGCATCACATTCAGATGTCTTCTGAAGCGATTTAAAATTACTTTCGTATCCTCACAGATAATAAAAAGTACCACGTGTTAGAATGGTGTCAAAATGGACGTCCAAGTGTGATAGAAGGATAGTCACACACCGAGAATTCGCACGAGGCGTAGCGCCGCAACAGCGTGTTTAATCGATTGATTTATCGGTTTAAGAATTCGTGACAAGATTTCCCGATACAGGAAGCCGTTATTCAACTCCGGATCGGTGTATCCGAGCATCGTGTAATTCCTTAGGAACGAGACGGATTCTCGGAGCGGCAGGTGGTTCCGAGACCGCAGCTGATCGATAGAAACGCGGTTTAATGACAAGAGGAGCATCGATGGACATCCGATATCCCTCGTCTTACATGAAGTTGATTGTACAGGGTCGACGGTAATTGTCACCGTCTATCATGGTAGCTGTAACACCTCCGATGCCAATGTCTAACAACTTTTCGTATTCTTTCCACGTAGCTAAAATATTCGCAACCTGTCGCCAAAGTTCACGATGGGGAAGCTTCCTATAAAACTAGATTCGTTCGCGGAATTATGGTGCTATCACGGTTCCGTATACGGCAATCTGGATATTTGCTCTAGTTCAGATATTGTGGGGAATTGGAAAAACTTGAGGATACTGGGAATTTGCAAATTGAGTTGATAAATTGAGAAAAATTGGGGAAATTGCGATTGTGGAAATTGGGTGATTTGAAGAACTTTGATGTCTGTAGATATTTGAGAGAATTTAAAGTTTAAAAAATTAAGGAATTTAGAGATTCGAGAAATATGACCATCGCAGCTTTGAACTGCAAATGAGAAAAGTATCCACTCCAAGATCATAAAACTAAGATCCTAAAATAAATAATTACAGGATTAATTACGTCACGTTCCATCGCTCCTTTAAACAAAAATTGCTTTAATTAAAAGAGAGTCTCGTCAAACATCCAACTCGGAGAATCTTCAGCGAGCGGCGCAGAGGTTGACGATGATAAACATTCGAAGGTAAGTTGGAAATTAAGAGTCGAAGAGAGTTGATCTTCGATGGAAAGTAATTTCTCTTGAACAAGTATAAAAAGGAGGATCCCTTTTATCGGTAGAAATAGTTACTCGGCAAAGTGACGTAGTTTGGATATTCCTCGCACGTTTTTAAAGCGTCCCGTGTCAAAGAGTTCGCTGGAACTGTTCAGGGAAGTTGCACGAATCGTCCACTCCCTAGAGAGGATTTTCCTGAATTCGTTTCAACTGGATTTCCTATCCTTCAGCCAGGTACATTTCACAACATAAGCGTGTGCTTACACACACACACGTACTAAGACACAAAGGGTAAGAAAGAGGTGACACGATGTATCTTCCTGAAACAATATTTTCGTTCCCTTTTACGAGATTCGGACTGTTTGGCGAGATACACTCGAAAAGGGAAAACCATGTATTATTATCGTCGAATCAGGTTTCATTCGACGAGATTTGACTTCGTCTTGAAACTCGTTCTTTCACAAATCCTTCGGGCGGATGTTCTAAGGTTTCAACGCAAAGACTTCCAGAGTTTTTATCAATCTTCCTGGAACGAGTATTCTGGATCGATCTTCGCAAGCTTACAACGCTTCTTCGTCTTGGGAATTCGGGGACTTTGACTTGGAAAATGTAGAAATATTCTCCCAAATTATCTGTCCACTATAAAAAACATATCACAGTAATAAATGGCTGACCTCGGTCAAACCACGCTCCTTCAAGGTGAACCTGAGAACATCCATCAATTTACAGCGATCGTTCTATCAACCCATGTTACACGTTCACGCAAACCACGTGTAAATTATTCTCACTTGCAAGGGGGACCCCAACTATTAAACTACAAGTGTAACGAGCTTTTTACACGGTAACAGCATACATCGTAACAACATCCGCAGAAAATTCCCTGCAGCAGCTTGATAACTTTAAACATACAAACATTCGAAGATAAACATTTTTAAGATAAGTCGCGAACACGAATATGACATGCATGTTTTGTTATCACACTGACCAAGTAAAACGTTGTTTACAAATCCTGGGATTCCGTTTTATCAAACACGTTCTTATATTACCACTTTAATACGCAATATTCTTTGGAAACTATTCAAATATTAAATGACGCATTTATTCATACTTTCATCAAATGGCAATTTCTAACCTGTATAGAGTACATTGCCGCAAGGTAACATTTCTGATAAATTTATATCTTCGAAAACTATGAAACGCTTATGTGGGTTGTATAACTCGCTAAAATTAAAATCAAACCCTTGTGACATCGTTTATGATTTAAAATGGTAAAATTATCAAGGTCCTTACTTTTGGAATGGTGTTTCCATCAAGAAAGCACAATAGTATGCAAATTCTATATCAAAGATGACATAGAAATACGTAAAATGACAGACCTAATTCAGAGGAAGGGGACTCAGACGGAGGGCGAACCAAAGGGGTGGTTGATCGATTGCGTCGGTACATGCACAATAACAGGGGGATGGAGTCATGTATCTGGGCTAAACAGCCCATTTGCCCTGCACAATGGAGGCGACGTTGCTGTGGGCTCGACTTAATTACAGAGGCTGCCTTTGGCAGACAACGGAAGAGCGGCAAGAGGATCCTTTATCGGAAGCAGCCTACATCTAAGCTCCATTTAATTGACTCGGACGAATGGAAAATTCGCCGACAAATCGATGCCCATACATCCTAAATTAATTAACGCGCCGAAGCCTCGACAACAGCTATCGACTATCCCCAACGTTTAGACACACTCAGCTAACTAATTACAATTTCCCGAACTCCAGATATACAAATTTAAACTGCTCAATTTATCTTCGGGTTCTACTAATTTCTTCCCTCTACAAATGCTCCAATTATCAAATTGCCAAAATCCTATAAAAATAATTTGCAAGTATCATTGTCAATTGCTGCAACCTTACTCGTAATAATATAACGAGCGAACTGTCCCCTATATGTGATTCAACATCGTTGAAAATGAGATCAGATTTGCAGATCGCAAAATACAGTTGCCATGCAAAGTTGGATCTAAGTATACTTTCGTTAGGTACTTATCCTACCCGCATAATACCGCGCTGCATCTCGGAAACGAAACGGTAAGAGTTTCTCAGAATACAAAACAGTTTTCCGATAGTTTGGCTAGTGCGAAAACGAACAGAGTTCGCGAAGCTTAGCCATTAGTGTGGTAACAGCAGAAACTTGGCATGTATCATCGTAGGAGGAGGATGGATTACAAATCTGAGCAGCACTCACCAAAGTTTTCATGAAGTTCACCGCCTAAAGAAGGCCACTGCATTAAACGAACCACTGCAACAGAAAAAGGCTATGGTTAATGTGGAAGGAGCACAAACTATGATATTAAGGTTTCCTGTTAACTGTACGTTCAATCATTTCATTCGACTTTTAAAAAATTATAATTTTTTGGAGATCAGAAAAATTCTTACATTTCCACCTTATGGAAATTGTAAAATATTTAAAATTTGCAAATAACTAAATTTTCAAGTTTCCCAATTTTTCAAGAGAACCACCAAAGAGAATCACCTTGACAATCTGCAATCCAAATCACCAATTTGCATATTTCCCTAAACCCAAGATTTCCTACAATCTACTGCAAATTTCTATTTACAGGCGTTTCATTACCACTCTCATTTTTTATTTCCCGAACAGCCACATAGTAGCGATTTTACAATAATAATAGACTGACATTCGAGTTCACAAGGACGTACGTCAGCTATTAAGATAACAACATCTCATGCATGTGCCTGATATCTGTGTTACGTTTTAAATTGATACGCCTATAATCGCGACGCTATATATACAGTAGACAGAATCTCGTTCTAACAGTCGAGAGCAGTATCAAACCGCGAGCACAACGAGACGGAAGTATGGCGTCCGTGTTTTTGAAGCTCGCCGTGAGTGTGATAGTCCTTTTCGTTCTTTACCTAGTGAAGAAGTATAGTTACTGGAAGAGACGCGGTATACCGACCGTCAAAGGATGTATTCCGTTGATCGGTAACATACTGCCCGTGCTAACGTTACAAATGAATTTCCACTCCATGCATACGAAAATGTACGAGGATAACGAGAAGCACAGCATGGTCGGATATTACAAATTGTGGGATCCTGTGTTGGTGATACGTGATCCTCAGTTAGCGAAAACGGTGTTGCAAAGCAATTTTTCGAGCTTCCACAAAAACGCCTTGGAAGTTCGAGAAGATTTGGATCCTGCACTCTCCAAGAACCCGTTCTTCTGCTATGGCGAGCAGTGGTCGCGTGCTAGAAAACGTCTGACCTGGGCGTTCTCCAGTGTCAGGCTAAAGACGCTGTTCCTGACGGTCGCGGGAGTATGCAAAAAGTTTGAAGACTTTTTAAATCGACGACTAAAGGAGAACAACAGATACGAGGTCGAATTGAAGTATCTGTTCTCGAAATTCACCGGTGAAGTTATAGCCAACGCTGGTCTGGGCATCGAAGGATTCTGTTTCGAGGACAAGAAGCACCCCATGGCGTTCGACGCTGTTTCCGAGGAAGTCTTCTCGTCCAGCTGGAAAAGAGCCATAGAAAACAACGCGTTGTTCATAAGGCAACTGAGAAATCTCCTGAATCAGAAATTCATAACCGCGGAGTTCGACGCTTTCTTCAGGAACGCCATCAGGGAGAACCTGAAGCTCAGAGAGAAAGATCCCACACCCAGAAACGATTTTCTGCAACTGATGATGGACCTTACGAAGAATTCGAACGAAACCATAGACGAAGATTCGCTCGTCGCGGAGACGATGTCTTTTTACGTCGACGGTTTCGAAACGTCCTCCATCACCCTCAGCTTCGTCGGTTTCCAGTTAGCGAGACATCCGGACATTCAAGAGAAACTGAGAGAAGAAGTGAAGTCTAAACTCGCTAAGTACGACGGTGTGTTGACGTTCGATGGTTTGAAGGAGATGACATACATGGATCAAGTGATCAACGAATCGCAGAGATGTCACAGCGGTTTAGGTGGACTGTCAAAGATATGTACAGAAACAATCGAGCTGGAAGGATCAGACGGACTGAAATGTCGCATGGAGCCTGGCACAGAGGTGGTCGTAGCTTATCAGGGACTACAAAACGACCCGCAATACTGGTCCAACCCGGAGGTTTTCGATCCTGATAGATTCAGCGAGGACAGGAAGCAAAACATTGTGAAAATGACCTTCCTGCCTTTTGGAGAAGGTCCAAGAATGTGTGTCGGAATGAAAATGGCTCAGTTGCAAATGAAAGCTGCTCTGGCTACTTTGATAAACAACTATAAACTAGAATTATCGCCTAAGACGAAACTTCCTCTAAAGATGTCACCTTATTACTTCCTGATGGCCCCGGTGGGAGGGTTATGGGCTTACATTACGAAAGTCTAAACGAACTTTTAATTTTGTGTTACGCTGATCAGACAGCATTGTTGGTATTTGTAGTATATGTAGTGGAACTTGAAAGGAATAAAACATGTACTATAACGAGTTTGCAAGTTTCCAAACATTTCCAAGTTTTGTGACTCCTAATCTTTTTAACTTACATTTTTAAATTGAAAACTTTGCAACTTGTTATAAACAAATTATTCCTAGAAATGTTTTGCACAGTGTACTAGTTTTCAATTTAGTATACACATCTTTAATTAAGTTTATTTGATAAAGATGTAAATATTCAATCTACAGAGTGACAAGAATAAAAATTGCGTCAATAAGAGAAACGATAAACTGGTAAGACCTCGACGATATGATTACGTATACGAGAGCGATTGAGGCGCGATAGTTAACGCCTCCATTTGATAAAAAGTAACAAACAGAGCAATTAATCTTCAATAAGTACATCTATCAAAGAAATCGATAACATAGATCTAGATATCGATATCGATGTCTCGCGCGGTATAAAGACAAGGAAAAAATATAAAGGTAACATAAGAACGACAGTAAAATAGTGTATACCGAGTTCAAGTATATTTGTCGCACATCTCAGAATGTGCAGACAAAAATGAGTTTTCTGAGTGGTCTTCCGTGTTCACTATCGTTATGTACACGTAACTGCGTAAAATATATGTAGTGTGTGTAAATATTTCATATTTTATACGTAGGTAGTCTAGCTTGACGCTGTGCAGTAAATAACAGCCTAGTTCAAGGCTATTTCCATCACAGAATCCGAGAAAGCGTTTGTGGGACGTTTAGGTGAAATTGTGTAATCGATCATACGTTTTTTTTATGAAATAAAAAATTTGTTAATAAAAGGTTGGTGCTCTTTATTCACAGAAAGATTGCGATGCTTTTGAAAGTTTTTACAGGTCCGAAAATTTATTAAATGGGACACTGAACGTTCAACTACAGGTATAGAGATCAGTGTGCGGGTTTATGGCAATATATCAAGAGTCTACTGTATCGTAATCTTTGAAATCATTTTTCTTTATTTTCCCTTGCACCGTAACACCAACAAAGAAATCCAGTATCACATCCGTTCAATTTATATTCATCCACTTTGCACGTAACGTTCCCGTTGAAATTATAAAAGAAACGCGATCAGAAGTTTCCAGGACAGAATACGGTACATTTCCCGTTCAACAGATAGTAGCACCGTTCTTTTATCTCGTTTCTTTCTGCCGTATCTCCCGTCACGACCGATCGGTTCTACGTTTGTCCGTGGAGAAACGAAAGAAAGTAGAAAGATCGTACACGCGCGGTGCCGTATAGAAAGCGAAAATGTGTATCGTCGTTCTATGAACAGAAGGATGGATACGACGAAGGATAGAGGGGATGGGAAGGTGGCTGTTCGCGTCGTAGTGCATCTTTCTCTGATTTCCCGAGGGAGGAGTCTCCTCGACAGCTTTCTCCTATTGAAGCCGGAAGAGAATGAAGGACAGAGGTAGGTGGATAGAGTCGCGACTCCTGCCCTCTCCCGTAGCATGATTTATTTTATTGCTTTTCGAGAAGCTAGCATAATTCCACCCCTGATCCCTGCCCACCAGTTATTTACCCCCCTCCAGCGTGTTGGACGGACAGGATCCGACGAAGGGGATCAACAGGTATACAGGACCGTTAGTATCCTTCGACCGTGTCGAGAAATCGAATCATAGTTCTTCAACCCCTTTGCTAGCGGTTCGACATGGATGCATTTCTTCATTCATACATGGTCAATTTTCAACGAGGTCTTGTGACAAGTCGTATAGCATTTATTTTGGATAGGATGAAAATTTAAGATATTTGCACTAAATTATAACCATCGAAAATACGAAGGGGTGATTTTAATTAGTGAAATTAATCCTCCATTACATTTTAACGTATTTTAATACACTTCAGTAGATTGTATTATATTTTAATATATGTCGATATATTTTAGTATATATTTAAAGTATATAGTATATATAAAAATATCATCAGTTTAAAAAAATAATTTTGAAGCTAACAACATAGCAGAGAAAAGTAATTGAATTTACGAATAATAACAGTAATAAGTGGAAGTTAGTTCTCATATGAATTTGGACGAATTGATTGATAATTACGTTATCATTGCAAAGCAAACAATAGCTGGAAGTTTATCATGTCCTGTAAATGTATCAGTTGAGCGAATTACGCGAATTCACACAGTGTACAGTTGCATCGAATAGAAGCACCGGGCAGAAGTTGGTCTTGATTTAATTAAAACGGACACCGGTAACAGCGATGCAGTAAATTGAAAATTACGAAGCGAACTAATCCTCTTAAATGGAACATTACTATCAGAATGTACAGAGGACGACAGATGAATTCGATTGTTTTTGACTAAAGCCATGGCGATAAATTAATTCCTTTCGAACATTGATACTTTTCGGTATCGAGTCATCTACCAATCTCGAATTACGCTTTCACAGTTCTCAATTTACTATTCCTGCATTTCTACATATTCAAACTTCCAAATTAAATTAGCACGGAACAAATTTTCAAATTACAAAATATCCAAGTTTCAATATCACCGAATTCCTAAATGTACATATTTCTGCAACCCTTAACTGAAATAACAAGAAAATCCGAATGCGTCGAAAAGGATTGATTGCCGTAATAAATAGCACATAAAACTCAACTCCCAATTGAGCACCGTTAATCAATTTCATCCCCTCGTGATTCCAGTATTTTCTTTCCGCGCAATCTTGTTCGATATTAACAGGCCAGTCGCAAGGATACCGGAAGAACGTCAACCCCGAGCGTAATATACTTGCTTTGCCGAATGCACATCGTCGAGAGGGGGTGGTTCAGCGGAATGGAGAAAAGGGGACAGCGACAGGGTCGTACCAGGAAATTTCACGGAGTGGCGCAATAACGTTTCTTATGCCACGTTTCCGGAGTGGCGTGCTGTTAGAGGGTTGGGTAGCTTGCAAATACCCAGAGAAAGAGAAGGTAGGAAGGGTGAAAATAGTATGGAAAAGGGAGGAGATGCAGTCACTCTCTGGCATGCAATTAGGAGCTAGCATCGCCCTGGAAAGGATCCCTCTCTTTCAGTCTTCCTGCTGTTATCCTTCCTCTCCTTCCACTCTCTATTTCCTTTGTCTTTCGTTCTTCTTCTACCGTTCCGATTGTACACACAGATTTTCTCCCTCTCGCGCCTATCAACACACACCACCCGGGAAATATCGGGAAACTGTAGCTGGAAAATTGAACGTCTTCTCGGAAATCGAAAAATCGTTTTAAATCGTTACGTTATTAAGCACCTGTTACCTTTAAATCTTGAAAGACCTAGGTCAGAGAAGCAGGTGGGAGCATGTTATATTGGATCAGTTTATCATACGTTAACTTAATACACGTTAGTTTATTACCTGTTGTTAGTTTTCCACTCATTAGTTTACTGCGCGGAAGAAATTCTACGTGTTGGATCCCATGTGTGGTGTTTACACGTGTGGTATCTACTCACGTGGTATTTTGACGCATGGTACTTGCATATGTGGTATTTACACGCGTGGTATCTACTCACGTGGTATTTCGACGCGTGGTACTTCCATATGTGGTATTTACACGCGTGGTATCTATTCACGTGGTATTTCGACGCATAGTACTACATATGTGGTATTTACACGCGTGGTATCTACTCACGTGGTATTTCGACGCGTGGCACTTCCATATGTGGTATTTACACGTGTCGTATCTACTCACGTGGTATTTCGACGCATGGTACTTCCATATGTGGTATTTACACGCGTGGTATCTACTCACGTGGTATTTACACGCATGGTACTTCCATATGTGGTATTTACACGCGTGGTATCTACTCACGTGGTATTTCGACACATGGCACTTCCATATGTGGTATTTCCACGCATGATACTTCTACGCACTGTATCTCCATGCGCGGTATCATCCCGCACAGTATCTCCACTCGTGGAATCTCACCACCTAATATCTCCACGCGTATCATCCAGTATCTCCACACGTGGCACCTCACCACCTAATATTTCCACGCGTGGCACCCCATCTAGTATCTCCACGCGCGATATCTCTCCAATGCATGATATACCTATCACCTCCATACACGATATATTTCCACCTAGTATCTCCACACCTCGCATCTCTACGCATTGTCCCTCACACAACAAAACAACGATTCATCAGATCTATCGTCCCACGTTTCGCAGCTTTGTCACAATACAAATCGCATGGCTCGAACTGCAAAATTTCATTTTCCTGTCTAACGCGATATGATACGGAAATTTTTACGCGGTTGTGCAGCTGCGAGTGAAACGGGAACCGCATTAAAGGTGGGATGGGCAGGATAGTAAAGTGTGTAAAACAGAATAAAAAAAAACTCAAAAAACTACGGGTTTGAAACATTGCTACTGCGAACGGGTGAACAAAGTGCAGCGGATAGTGGCATTCAGTGCTATCCGACGGATGATTCCCGCGGGAACGGCCGGTAAACACTAACGCCAATCCTATTTTTCCTTCTCTTTTCCGCTGTCTATCTATTTCTCGTTTTTTGCTGGCTTTTCCTGTTCTGCCGTGCCCCACCCAGCGACGACGCGTAATAACGATAATAAATCGTGTCTGAGTGATTTAGAGGTTCATTTAGCCGGCAAAGGTCTGGCCTGAGCTTGGGGGATCGCTGGGCAGATTATAAAGAATAAGTCATTTCTGCCTTTGTCGATGTGTGAATTATTCGCTGCATGACGATTTCGTGTCGAATGATTAACACGTTCGACGATAGATCAGAATACAAACGATCTTGGATACAAAATGAATTCTCGGTTAATGAATCATGATAGTGAATATTAAAATTACATGCGTCATAAATAGTGCAAGATCATGAAATATGTATTATTTATCCCAGTATCTTTTATTATTCGCGCTAAACTTATTTAAAGATTAACATGATCGAGAAACATTTTTGCATTGTAACATTCGACAGAAAACCAAATCGTTTTATTTCTTTTGTGACGGTTTACATGCAACTACGAACTCGTAATAACAAGAGGGAACCGATACAGAAAATGTTGCCAGTTTATAAAGTATCGATCACTCGGTCGACTGCTGAACCGAGAATAAAACGAATCTTTCGAACAGTAACGAGCTGAAACGAATAACCGTTCGAGCACCGATAAAAGTCGATTCTCAGCAAAAGTAGCCAGCCCCGGTATAAGACGGGATACTCTATTACCGGAAATTAACAAAGCTAGCGTATACCGTTGAACGAGATCGCTACGTGTAGCTAACAAACGAACAGAGGCTACTTTCGAAAGAAGTTTCTCTATTTCTCGTTTCACGTGCTCCCTTGGGTCATTGGATTCGAGCAATCACGAAAACAATAGCTTTAATCTCCACCAGTTA